TACAAGTCAGTCGAGAGTGTCGTCTTTCGCATTATTTTCAAGGGTTCCAGTGGCGGATGTTGTTATTTGCAGATTGTGTGGACGTTGGACTGTAATTAACAGCTTTGTTGACACTTTTGAACTGCCGCTTCAAGCGCTGACCCACGATAGTGAGTGAACAATACTTTCGGCTCCTCATGTACGGCCGCACGTACATCCTGATATTGTTCNACCACCTTTGCGGTTTAAAATATACAGTTTGGAATCAACAATAACTGCTACTGTAGCTCAGAACAGTTAATTCCAGCAATAAGTCTATCACGGAGCTGAGTTTTAAGCTGATCTTTGAAATTACAGCGTGCAGCCTGAGTCTACAACTGAAGAATAAAGTCTCGAGCAGACTGATTAGGATCACGAGCAAGGCAGTGAAATTTCGCTTGCTCATTTGCTTCGAAGTTGACCGGCTGGAAGTGTTTTAGCAACAGATCCATGAGTTCTTTATACTTCAGTTGTATTGGTGACTCTGGGAATGCCAAATTTTTAATCAGCGAATAAGCTTCCCTCCCAAAAGCTGAGATAAAATGTGCTGTCTTCTTCTCGGCGTCCAGACTTTTACGGGTGAGACACCAAATCTCAGAACGCTCCAAATAATTTTCTACATAACGCAAATTCGAATGAATATCGAGAAATTCCAAGTTGCAGGTGTCCATAATGAGATAAAAACCAGCCGCGACGCCAAATGTGGTAATCTGTATTTGTTATCGGGAATTGAACCGCAATAATCCGCGCAATTAAACTCCAACCGAACTAGTACGCAGTAGGGAATAGAACTCCAGAATATTCAAAGTCAGTTTTTTTGTATTACGCGCCGAAATGGTACAAAGCAATCGATCATGTAATGAAACAAGAATGTTCAGTTTATACGCAATCACCACACGGATTTTGCAGCGGCTCTCTGGACGCGCTCAAGGCAGTCATGATCTCGGATGAGACCAGAGTGTGCAACTTGGCTTCCGTATTCTAAGAGAGGGCGGACGTCCGTTCCGTAAATAAGAGGAAAGTCATGCCTTAGAATACGGGGGAACATCTATTTATGAGATTCAGGACAAGAAAAGCGGCCTTACTAGCTAGATGGTTATGATGAGAGAAAGACAGGTTGGTTTTTAACCAGGAAAAAAGTACTTTGTATTGGTCCACTTGGGGTAGTAGGTGAGAACCTTCTATCGTAAAAGGGTGAGATGAGTGACAATTAAATGACATACCAACACGCTTGTCATTGTTTATTAGAAGATACTTTTCCGATGACCAGCGTTTGGTAGCATCAATTGAGGCCTGTAAAAGGGAGGCGTCTGTATCCCAGATGAAGACGTCATCGGCGTTTAGCGCAATGCTTGATGACATTACGTCGGGTAGGTCATTTATACAAACAAGGAAGAGAATGGGGCCTAGAAAGATTCCTTGGGGAACACCGGTCGTAATTGGGCTGGGCTGTGATGAGGACTTGCCGACTCGAACAGCAAGTGAGCGGTTTGAGAGGAAGCTACGAATAAGTGCAAGCAAGGGGTCTACAATCCCGTGTGCCGCAAGTTTGTGGAAAAGAGGGATGTGGAACCTTGTCAAATGCCTTCGCGAAGTCAATGAAAAATGAAATAAGATGTTGCCGGAATCGTAGGTCAGGCTATCCATGACAGTCAGCATATTGGTGATGCAAGACCTATCAGGTAGAAAACCGTGCTGGAAACGAGAGAAGGTTGTTGGTCCTAAGATGCTTCGGGATTTTGTCTTTGATTAGACGCTGGAAAAGTTTGCTGGGAATGCTAGTTAGGGAAATGGGACGGTAACTAACAGGGAAGTGTCTACTACCCTTTTTTGTATGTGGGGAAAATAATGGCTTCTTTCCAGCTTGTGAGAAAGGTTCCCTTGTTCATACTGCGTTAGAAGAGAAGAGTGTACGGGGGAGCTGGTACACCAGCTGACTCCACCAGTAACCTAGGGTGTATTTTGTCAGGTCCCATGGGGCAGTACGGACGAATGCTTCAAAGTCTCCTTTGAACCTTACCTTGTGAGAAAAAGATGGATCCTACGGAGGAATTTGTATCCAGAGGCTGCAGAATGGGGTGACTGAGCACCGGAGGGGAGTTGAATGTCTTCTAGAAGTGTGATCGAAGGGTATCCGCCACCTCTGTTTGGGATGAAGCAATTGATCCGTCTGGATTGGTGAGAGCTATGGGGCAGATAAAGAGCTTACGCAAGCTACAGATATATTTAAAGAAGAAAGACTTATTGTTTCGAGGATTGGTATGAATAGCTCCCTGGATGTACCTCTGATGTTCCCAAACTTTGTGCTGGCAGAGATTTCCAACTTATTTAAAAGCATCTCCCTCGGCTGTGAGACAAGTATTGATGTATCTCGTAAAAAACTTGGCCCTTGTATCTAACAGCCGGCGAATTGAGCGAGGGAGATGGGGCTTAGCATAAGACGTGATGTGAATTCGGGGAACACATTGCGAGTCTGCGAGAGAG